ATTTATATTGAGACGGACAAAAGGAAAGGAAAGGAATTTATTGTAGGATAGAGTGAGTATTAATAAGACTGATTTGTTCCTGAGGGTATTCCAATATCCATCCTTAGAGCATCACTAATGCCAAAATGTGTATGTTGCACATGTGACATGAGAGAGAAAAGGTCATGAGTTTCACTGGACCATTTAGTCTTGGGAGTCCTGAACTCCTAATCCTACATTATTATTCAGCAAGATTTGTTGCATGGAATTCAAGTTATGATATATTGTACATCCATGTATAATGTACGGAATATTTGTCATGTGTTCACAGTACTCTCTTCTATTAGGTCACTGTAATTTTCAATAACAAAAAAATCATAACGAAATTTTCACCACATTTTTTTAACCACCCAAAAATAGCATTTTACAATCCATCAAATCCAAATCAAAATGACTATCTAAGCTAGAATTAACTAACCTAGATATAATGCTTCAAAGTAATGGGACATCCCCCAATTCACATAATCATCAATTAAATAAAACTAATTATCGAGTGATTAATTTTCAAGTGCACTTCCTCATTTTGAAGACCATTTTTCTACCCGGACCCTTTTTTGGTTCAATTTCCAACATTTTTCACCACACTTCTCATCACTTTTACAACATTTTTGGGAGTTTAAAAAGATTATGTCTTAAATCCAATTCATCAAATTCGTTTTTTACTAAGATATTTAGAAATAACTAAATATTTAAACTTAATCATAGTAACAACTTATGTTCTATTTTTAAATTTAAGTGACAAGACGTTTGTGATTCTTGTGAGGGTGGGCCGAAAAATTCATGGCATGTTTTTCTAATATGTCTGTCTACTGTTTCTTGTTGGAGGGAGCTTGGTATTTGGGATTATCTCTCCATCACTATGAATGAAGCAGAGAGCTTTGTGGAGTTCTTCCTTGCATGGGCACCAAAATTTTCGGAAGAGACATTGAAACTTTTTGGGATGACTACGTGGAGCATTTAGCGAAGGAGGAATGTTTTATATTGGGATGGTATTCGAGAGACCAATACACAAGTGATATCCCGTAGAGCTGAAATCTTCTGAACATGGGATGCAGCCCAACAGTTAGGCCGAGGCACGAAGGATAGAAGCATGAATCTGGCTAGATGGAAAAGACCTTCGGTCGACCTTGTGAAGTGTAATTTTGATGCTGTCATTTTTTATAATGCAAAATGTATGGGTTTTGGTGGTTGTGTCCGAAACCATGTTAGGAGATTCTGTGAGGCTAGAACGACATAGATAAGCACAGAAATGAATCCAAGTGAGGCAGAAGCTTGAGGTTTAAGGGAAGCTATGAAATGGATAAAACAGAAGGATTACAAGAAAGTAATTTTTTAGTCCGACTGTAAACAACTGATTGATGATTTGTATGGAAATCACGTTGATCAGTCCGAGTATGGATCCTTAATGCAAGACTGCAGGGATCTTTTAGTTTCCAACAATGGTTTTTCTGTTGTTTTTACTAGGCGACAAGCTAATAGTAGTGCTCATGTTCTTGCCCGGACATCTACTGCTTTTGCTTCTTGCATGGATTTTACTTATACCCCTGATTGTATTTCAAACATTATTATTAATGAAGTGAACTAAGTTGTTATTGCCCAAAAAAAGTGACCAAGACAATATGACACTGTATCACAGCTTCCCTTCATCGTAGATACCCGAGAGGCAATAATATGCAACCTAAACTTCCAGATTCTCCTGTATGGCAACGGATATGCAGCGTTCATAATCAATGCTTGGAATTTTCCAAGGAAGAGACTGATGGTGGTATTTGGTGGCCCCTAACTTCTGACGGATCCTTCTCCTTAGCGTCTGCATATGAGGGCCTTCGAGATAATAAAGGCTCTACCTTTTCCTTCTCTAATGTGTGGCATCCCAGGCAGACTCCCTCCAAAAAATTATTCAGTTAGAAAGGTTTTCCATAATATTCTACCCTTTCCCAACAATCTGAGTAAATTTCAAACTCTGTTACCTTCCCAATGTCCTTTCTGTCGAAATGCATTTGTATACATGGGTCACTGTCTCTTCTCTTGTTCCTATTCCAATGAAGTTTGGAAATATTTTATGGGCATCTTCCTCATTCCCATTCCAGATCTACAAATCTCACTCAAACAAGTTTTCTCCTCTTGATGGCTTCACTCTAGTAAGAACCCACTTGAAAACCTTTTTCTTCAAGTTCTTCCAGGGGTTATAGCATGGACAATCTGGAAGAGCTATGCTGCTATTACCTGGGGCGACTCTACCATTTAATGTTCATACTGCTAATGGTAAAACTGGAGCGGTTTTGAGAAACTCGGGATGTAACTTTATCTGTGCTCTCTCCCTTGACTCGCCTGGCCAATCCCTTCTCTTATCCGAACTTCGGGGAATCTTTGTCACATTGTCTTGGGCATGCAACAATGACTATCATTCCTTTACGGTTGAAGTCGATTCCTTAGCTGCTTATCTTCTCCTATCAAGAAGACAACACACGAGTTTACGGGATATCAAGAAACCGATTGATGACATCCTCAAATTAACCTCTTCCAACAACATCTCATTCACATATTGTTCTTCACAAGTTAATGTTGTTGCCTCACTTATTCCTATTTTTCATTTTAGCTCTAGCTTCAATTGTATCACAAACTATCACTTACTCCTCCCTCGTATTCGAGGAGCTTTAATTCTAGATTCCTTTAGCTTTCCCCAAGTACTTCACACGTTGGGGTAAGGCCTTATGTCCCCCCTCTGTACCTTTTGATTTAAATAAAAGTTTCCTAAAAAAACTTTTTTTTTGGTTATTTTTTAAAAAAACACTCTTAGTTACACATCATAGGATCCTCATGATTACTAAATTTTCACATTTTGATGTTTTGAAAGGTTGGAATGTACTCTAGATAGACTCTAGTGTTAGACTAAACGGTGATTTGGGAAGTTTTTAATTGAAGAAATTTTCTAATCTAGTCTAGTATGGTCTGGTATGCATAAGTGTGGTTGCTCTGATCTGGTCTAGTACTCTAGTCTGTTGTTCTATGCGTATTTTATAACCGTCGAAATATGATCTGATCTAATTTAGGGCTAAAAACAATTTAGACTCTGTTTGCAAACTCTATTTATAAGTGCTTTTGGCTTTTTTAAAGAAAAAAAGCACTTATTTTACCAAACACTACCAACTTTTACTATCTCGGTTTCCGTGTAGAATCTACTTTTTACTTTTTCTATTACACAAAAAGCACTTATTTTACCAAACACTACCAACTTTTACTACTAATCATTTTTCCCAAAAAGTGCTTTTATTTAAGCACAAGTGGTTGCAAACAAAGCCTTAATCAAAAACGTTGTTTATCTTTCGTGTGAGTGTGTTTGGTTGTCGTATTTATGAGTACATGCCGAATAATTCGCAATGCCGAATAATTCGTCATGCCTCTCGGCCCGGAGTACTTATCCAAATTTCTTTTCCGTCCGTCCCAAAATAATACTTCATTCTCCTTTTTGGTAAAAAAATTGTACAACATTACTTACACATTTTTACATATTTCTCTCTATTCTATAATAGAGGGAGTACTTTATATAATGTGGTATGTGGGTCTGGCCAATATAATTTTTGGACGACATTCGTGTCCGCAGGTCGCCCGCGCACCCAAGTCGCGGTTTTTCTTCTCCGATTTCGGGATTTGATTTGCACCCCCCCCCCTGCGCGCGTGGAGAGAGCCTTTACCCTTAGGAATCTTAACTCCATAAGGGGGGAGTCCCTTTATAAAGGGTTGCAAATCCCTTGGGTTTTCCGGTGTGGGAAATTAACACTAGAAACCCATCCTTTTTCCCAGTTTTTCCCTTCTAACGGGTAAACTTCGAAAAGCGATTTCTCATTCACCCGTTATCCGTTTTGAGCGTACCATATATCGAATTGTAGCCCTTAACAAGGACAATCCGAAACCACTTTGACCCGACCCAAATCGGAAGTGGACCCCACTCAAAAAATTGCCCCAAAATAGCCATTTAATGCAATTTTTCACACATTTTTCCAACACAAATTTCCTTATTTCAATTTTGGTTTAAATATGTTTTTGGTCCCCGCAAATATTACACACTTTGTTTTAGGTCCCCGCAAAATATTTTCTTTGTTTTTCATCCCTGACATTTATGTTGATTTTCTTTTTAGTCCATATTTAAACCTTCAATTTTCAACCTACGTATGTGTTATATACTGGGCTCTGCTTGATGGGCTTCTGCATTTGTAGAGAGATCTATCAAGTCCTAGATCATGTCTGGGTTGCTCTTGTTGAAGCTACTCAGAAAGACTGCATCCAACTTTACTGTAAATGGGCTGATAATGTCTTCTTCAAACATAGACTTTGGTCGATGTTAATTAAGATTGGTTATGTTCAAGTCACATTAACCTACATTAATGATTAAACAATCGGACGGTCTCAAACCCTTCCAAACAGGATTACAGGAACTTTCCCTACTATTAAGACGTGAAGTCTTCCAAGGTCAATTGACCGGATACTTGCCTGAGTTATGTACATCTTTCGTACACTTGTCTGTCTCACGCACACAGAATTGACAGTCCACATATAACTCTACAGAATTTTACGTGGACAGACAATTTTGTATGCGTGAGACAAACGAGTGTACGAAAGGTGTAAACCAAAATGTGTACACCAACCATTTTTCTTCAGTAAAATGATGATTCTAGAAGGGTTTAGGAAATTGGGGCATATTTCAAGATTCCAACTTTGTTGTTGGGTAGGTTGAGTGTTGAGGGAGCAATTGCAAGGGCGGATGCCCTTTCTGTATTCTAACACAAAAAGAGAAATGCACTCTCACGAATTAAACAAAGCATGCTAATTTTGGTATATTCACAACAAATATCATGAGTTTTCATAACAATTTTTTAATATATCCCCCACACCCTTAATTTAAAAGTTGATCTTATTCATTCAATGCTAATTTCTTTAATTAATTGTCATTTCTCAAATAAAATCACTCATTTAAACCAAAACCTATAAATACACCTAAAATTCATGTTGAAGTCCTTATAATCTACATTTTGTTACTCGCTTTCAAGAAATGAATATTACAGCTCACTTCTTGGCTCAATGGGGCATTGGATCTAAAAACCCAGAGGTATATTCAATGTTCTTAAAATGCACAAACGATCATGATGCTCCAAACTCATATCAATAGACCCTTTTGCATGAGAGAGAACATCATGCTTATAAATGCATTCATTCTTAATTTCCGAAAACTTGTAAAGGGTCGAACTCCGCCCTTTACAACCTTCTCAAGCCAAAAGACTCTTAAGAAACCCATAAGCACACGACGCTCCAACCCATTGATGTGAACTAAGTCTATGGTGTGGGTGTGTGCAAGTACACGTCAAATAAACTCAAAACCCATAAGGAGCCTGACATTTTTGTATTTGTCGCCTCTATGGTCATACAGTGGAACAGAGCGGAAGCCAGCTTTCAACTCGGAAATAGGCAAGCAAGTCTGCCCACCAAATCCATCTTCTCCAGCAGGGTCATGATCCCTAACCACAACCCGAAGCAATGCTAGTTCAGGAAAGCGTAGCTGGAACTTAAATTCATTGCCGTTCCATGTTGGCACCCACTGATCATCAATTCTGTGAGTTTTCTTTGCTCTCGTACGGTCACATGGCATTCCTACTATGCTGACCTACACAGCCATTGTTATTATTATAACTATGAATCTATTGCTGTTTTCATTATGGCCTAACGTTTGCAGCACCTGAATTGATAACAAATGCAGCAACCAGGCGTCGTTTGAATTGATATACACATCTATTATTAGCTGACCTTTGTGTAGAAGTCTGGCGGTGAACAAAAATCAAAATGTCTGAAGTGGAAGTCCGTACGCCACCCTTCTCCCATATATATATTAACCTATGCATTGACACTAAACAGAAGTGAACAAGATCACACCAAGAAACTGCAATCATACAGATGTGAGGGTTATGCTGAAAATAGCAAACCTTCAAAGTTTTTTTTACTGGCAAAGCCATGGGATCAAAAACTTCATCATAGTTTCCATCGCCTAATAGAAATGCCGGTTTTTTCAAATAACCACAGCAGCCATTAGCTCTGAACATCCCTTGCATAATCCATAGATACTTTCCATATCCCTGTATGAAAACATATTGAGTAGAGGGTTGTTAAGACTTGAGAATCTGAGCTCCATGTTAAGACTTCTATGAAGTTCTTTATCTTGTTTTACTGTACTTGCAAATAGCGAACCTGCATGTTAAATGCAACCATCTGAGCTCCATGCATCCATCCAGTAAAAGGATTATAATTTGATGATGTGATGCGCGAACCCTTGGGGTACACTCTCAAAAAGCTCCGTTGTGTAAGCCTTAAGTACAAAAAAATGAGGTTGCATTAAATATCCCGTATCAGGAACCTACCCCATACATCTCCCAGATGCCCACTATATACTCCCCCCGTCCCAACAATAACATGACACTTTGACTATTTGAAATTATAATAATTGTTATTTTTATTAATACTCCATATACAATTTTAAATATTAACGGTTAAAGAACACTGGGGAGTAGGGACAGCAGAAATCAAACTGATAAGTTCATTTTGGGACGGGGAAGTAAGAGAGAATGACTTCCTAATCTCATCACAAAGTCTTTTTTGTCAAGACTCGTACTCCGGCTCATATATGTTTAGTTGGGTTTGTTGGGCTTATTTAAACATAAGTTTAAAAGTTATGCACCCTTAAACTACCTGAATAATGTAGATAATACTAAATTAGTTACCGGATAAGTTCCTTCCCGTGGCTGTTTATACTAAGTTTAAGTGTTTCTTCACTCATGCTAAGACGAGTAACTTTGTGATCATGGCTGGGTAAATTTTTCATACTACCCTTGAGTTTGCTAGCGCAGATGGCAATTATATTTTTGTATTCGGTTGTACTCTTTTCGTCATCAGCCTCTAAAACATCAGCATCCAAATGGTGAGACTGCAAAGGAAAGTATGATCAAGCAGAGGATATGAAGAAAAAATTAGTCTGATATGGGAATTAGTTAAGGCATTTGGGTGGACCCCATGAGTGGATGAAAGTCCATTGGTAGCAAAACTGGTCTCTTTTATGGAATGTCGTTTGATTACACTCCCAGACTTTGAGTATTTCTTTGGAGGCTTTGTTGAAATCATAACTCTCCCCTTTAGACATTCTGGTGAAGGAAACTCATTTAGATCTGATTCAGGACAAAACAGCATGTCTCCAAAAGTTTGTTTGACCATCTACACACAACCGTGCTAAATTTAGAGGTACTTGGTTACTCATCATTAGCTTTAAATTAAATGCTAATCTGAAAATATATATGAAGTATATGATAAACTTTTTAAGTTGAATTACCATTGCCACTTTTGCTTGAAGATTTGCATCAAGGTGATCTTCAAAAGTTATTATGACAGGATATTTTGAAGTAACAAATGCATTGTTCTTGATGGCTTTCAAACATTTGATTAGTTTAACCGGTGATGTCAATGTCCTGCATTTATAAAAAAAATGATCACTTTGTAGCAGTAGTTTTCCTTTGTTTAATGAAAAAGTCTGGCTCCATGGCAGCACACTTTGGCTTATCAGCAGAATAAGCAAAATAAATAGATTTTGTCATTGCGAAAAGTTTTTCTTTTCAGAAAAATCAACAGATTTGAATATTTGATAATTTATGCTAATACAACTTGCTTTTCCCACAATCAGAAAATATAAATAGATCATGGAAAGTAAACTACCTGCCATGACAAACTTTGATGTCATTCTTTCTTGAATTAGGCCAAAGGTCCAATTCGATCACTCTCACGCCTTCCTTTAGAGCCTTCACTATGGGTTTGTCACTGCTTTTGCTGCTGAATTGATTTCCAGTGAGATAAGAGTTATGTCCGGTGAATATAAAGTAATGTGCCAAGGGAGCACTCATGTCATGGTGAACCTGGAGACAAGAACAAACCTTACCACAGCAAACCATTTATTTTAAATTTTAAAATAAATCAAGAAAGTTCTTAAATGCAGGAGAAACAAGAGATTCCCCACCTTTGTGTTGTGGGCATTGTTAAGATCACTTAGCAGGTAATGGAAAAACTGATCAATGTCAAAAGTCTTTTGTAGACGCTTCACGCTGTTCAAAATCTTTTCAGCTGTCTCAATGGTTGCATCAGTCTCTTTTTGTTTCTCATTCAAGAATTTGAGTAAGTCATTGGCAGTCATGATTCCATTCTCATCAGAATATTTGCTAAAAACATCTCTTATGTCATCCGGTGCTTCTGCTGCCCTTTGTTTGAAACCAAGAAAACAGCAACACACCCTAAAATGTTGGTGTGCCATCTATAACTCAGGGGGGGAAACAGAATTATGCATGTTGTCCTTCTTTCCTTTTATACAACTCATTTCAAAGCTCTTGCATTTGCTGGCAGTGAGGGAAACCATTGTTTTCGGGGAAGAACTATTTGGAATATTCTATACTTGACCCCATATTGAAGGAAAGAGATCTCTTGTATATTGTTTACTTTATTAAAGCAGTTATGAGGAATAAGGTGCTTACTTGCAGTGGAGCTGAAGGCCTATACTACGGACATGGTTGGGAACGGAAAGAGAGAATAAAATAAGCCTAACCATAAACTAGGCTTCCTAGCTCATGACAACCTAGTCCATATCTTGATATTCATTTGCGATTTTATAAAATTTGAAAGATTAATACTCCGTATAATATGTAATCATACAACATTTGAAGTACCTTTTTATTCGTTTTCACAAACATTCAGTTTATTAAGAAAAAACACTAAGCTGTCTAAAGTCTTGTCCTTCCAACACCTGCAAAACAACCCATCCAAACAGGCCTTACAACAACAACAACAACAACAACAACAACAACATCCAAGCCTTAAAGGAAGGAATTTGCCAGGTCAAGATATGTAAGACAAGAGTCTGTTCTGAACTGAGTAATTCTTTTAAAGGCTTAAAAACATCTAAAGTAGAAACTAAAGCAAACTTCTTGTTGTCTGAAATAGATATGCGTGTAAGAAAGCTCACCACAGTGAAATTCTCTCCTTTTCTAATAGGAATGTCACAAATGCCTGATCTTAACTTAAGAACAGGTAAGCATATTTGTACTGCCAAGTCGTCCTTCTCAGACATGACACACTCATGCACTTGGATTCTGAGTAATGCTATATCAGGTAAGGCCAACAGGAATGTAAACTCTTCTTAACAGGTCTTTGTCTTATGCATCACCTCATCTTCAGGCACTTCAAGCTGACCCAAGCTGTCAAGATAGTGATTAAAAAACAAATTAGAATCTATCTGTTAATAAGTGGTTAACGATAAAATGAAATCTCGTGTTCCTACCTGAAGGGTGTGATTCGATCAAGGAAAATACTAAAGTCAGGGGGGATGTCATGGAATGTGATTTTCTTATTTTTGAGTTTACCCTGGAAAATTGAAAGGAAAATGAAATGTGATTTTTTTTTTTATCATGTATTACGTATCACTAATATTTTCCCTTGCCGTTTCTTTCCTTCCAATTTTCTCAATTTCTTTGTTTCTATTACGTATCCCTAATATAGTACGTAGTAGTAATATTTACTGGGATTCAAATCAATCCTTGGTATGTTTAGTTCAAGAAATGTCAGATTATCATGAGAATGTCAGATTGCTGGGTATGTTATATTGATGAGAATGTATTCAATTTGTACCCATTTGTGTTTGCTTGAGACTAAAGGATTGTGACATTGATTTGTTTGGTTAAATAATGTATTATACAACAAACTTGGTGAATTACTTCAATGCCCTTAAAAATATTTTCTCGTAATACCCTTATTACAATCGTCGGGGTCCCGAGAAAGAATGTCTTCATCGATAGGAGCCTACGCTTTTCATCGATCAAAAAATCAATGGACCATACGTCACCAATAGAATGACCTGATTATTCAAGGACTTAGGGGGCAATTAATTAATTAGATTAGGGGTAGAAAAATAATGGTTGATCCTACTTAGGAAATATTAGATATTGACTCCTATTTAAGGAAAGTTGCATGTTTGATCCTTCTAAATCATTCTTACTTTATTCTAAATTTATTAATTCACTATCAACCACATTAACTCCTTTATTCTTAATAATAAAACCACCTCCTCATATATTAAGTTATCATGATCATTTAAGTTTAAAAGTTCAATATAAGTTATTATGATTAAATTACTACTGTAGTCACTACTCACATTTTTGTAAACAATCTTTATTTTAGTCATAAATATGTAATTATTTCATTAATTTTTAATAAAGGCTAAAGGGTCAAATAGACCCTTGAACTGACTTAAACAGCGCAGTACATTTCGGAACCCTTTAAGTCAGTTCAAGGGCCTATTTGACCCTTTAGCCTTTAATAAATCAAATTCAAAAGTATACATTTTGTATTTCTTAATCCAATACGGATGGGTTTGTTTAAAAAAATTCCAATGCGGATGGGTTAAGAAAAATAAAAAATAAATACTATGTATGCTATTTAAACCATTTTGGTTAAATGAGAATGAGTATTTTTGGAATAAATTTCACTCCCACCAAGGAATGTAAGATAACCTAAGAGTTGAGTGGGTTTGAGATGAAGGGGTATCCTATTACTTTCTCTTCTTTTTTGGAATGTGACATTCCCCCCATAAAAATAAACCTACGAACCAAACACGGATATTTTAGATTCCGGGCATGAGATTTCGGCCTCCATAGGTGATTACCTTGAACCAAACATACCCTAAGGGTCCGTTTGGTTGGGGGTGATCTCACATGAAGGCCGGAATGTGATGCACGGAATGTTAGATACCCTTGTTTGGTTCACGGGTTTGAAAAAAAAACGGGAAAGTTATATTCCCGGGAATGTAATATGGATGGAAATCTTAAACCCGTCTATGCCTTAGGTTATCTCACATTCCCGGGGTGATCTGATTTTCTTCCGAAAATACCCTCAATTCATGATATCTTTTCATTTAATTTCTTTATATATTCAATTGTTATCAAATTTGATTTATTGTGACTTTATAAAAATTTTAATGTAGTCTCTAAATATGTAAATTTTATTTACTAAAAATAATCTTATTATTGATAGAGATCGGTTAGTTTAATTTCATGGTCTGTCGAACATCGTAAATTGTGTACTACCTTTTAGGTGGGACGGAGTAATGATTATATTTGAATGTCTATTCTCGTTATTTGCATAATTTTTTTCCTTATCATTTTAATTTTTTAAGGTATTTATGTTATAAGAGTTATAGATTATTTAAGTTTTGATTAGTGGATTTCAAAATTTAATAGCAAAGTTGGTCATTTTTTCTTCATTTTGAAAACAACTTTTACGATTAACTTGATCATTTTTAAATATTATTTTTTTAGATGATAATAAATATATTTATATTACTATTTGAACAAAGTTTTTTTTTTCATTTCTGTATTGGATCTACAACTTTTTATAATTAAACATATTTTACTTAAAAATAATTCAATTAGGTTTGATTTTATTTAATATTAAGATATTCATTTTTTCTTTAATTTTAATCACTTTAGATGTATATTGTAATAGATTTATTCCGTTAAGAGAAGATATTTAAAGGGCATAAAAGTAATTCATCAATTTAACATAACCATCAATCTGACATTCCCTTGATGTTAACCAAACACAAGTGGGAATAAATTGAATACATTCTCGTCAATCTAACATACCCACCAATCTGACATTCCCATGGTAATCTGACATTTCTTGAACCAAACATACCCTTAAGGGTTCATAAAATGAATTGAAAGTCTGGTGGGGAATATGAGTCAAACCATCAAAGTGAGTTTTCTTATTGATAAGTGGGTTCGTAAAATGAATTGAAAGTCTGGTGGGGAATGAGTCAAACCATCAAAGTGAGTTTTCTTATTGATGAAGTGGGTTCATAAAATGAATTGAAAATAGCAACTGAATTGATTTTCTTGATTTTTTCTGATGACCAATTCCGCAATTGCAATTGAAGATTGAGGGGCCACCTTGGACTCGGGCCGGGCGGCCCGAACCAGAACCGGCCCGGCCCGGTCACTGTTTGAACCGGCTCGGCCTGGCGGCTCGGCCCATGGGCGGTTCGGGTCGACCCGGCCCGGTGGCTACCGGTTCCGAGCTTGGGCCTTCATTTTGGTGAACCGGCCCGGCCGGTCCGAGCTCGGTCCGGGCCGAGTTTAATTTTTTTTTTTAAATTTTTGGGTTGGATTGGGTATTTTGGGCCATTTGAGGTGGTTTGGGGTGGTTTGGGGTTGAGGGGGAGGGTAGGGGGTTGATTAGGAAAACCCAATAAAAAAAATTATATAGAATCGAACCGGGCTCGACCCTGCCCGAACCGGACCCGGGGTTACCCGGGCCGGTTCCGGGCCTCCCCTACCTTGAACCGAGGCCCGGCCGGTTCAAGGCCCGAACCGGTCCACCGAAGGTCGGGGATCTAAATTCAGAGATAATGGAAAATTAAAGAAGATATTTGTTTCAAATTCCATGGAGAAGTAGAAAGCACTACAAGGAACAATTTGTATAACACGCACTAGTGACTAAAAATCACCGGCAAAGGACCTCATGGTAGAAGAGCACTGACAACCGAATGATAAAATATAAAGAAAATGTCTAAAGGGGTAAATTGAAGTGCACATTTAGGAGTTTATGTTTTGCTTTTCCTAAATAAACATACCTTAGTGTTTAGTGTTTAGGGGTAGTGTTTGGCAGGGGCACGTGTCTAAGCACGGATCCGGGATTTCTCATTCCGTACGAAAGAGATGTCTCGAATTGTACAAGAATGGAGGAATGAACACAAAAAATATAATATTGTGCCGTACTGAATTTTTCTAATGATATTATATAGTACCGGTTCTGAGGGGACTTATAGAAATAAAAAATAAAAAACGGCGGTTCTTAAGTGAGAACTGTCCCAGAACCAACCTGAAACTGTATTTATCTGAACCGTCCTAAAAACTGGTTATATTTGTACGGTGTAGAGATTGTATTACCAAGCCCAATTCGCCGATTTTTTTTGGTAATTTACACAACGAGACTTAAAAGCAAAAGAAATATCACGTTTTTCCTCCTTCAAAGTTTATTTCAAAAACACACATGTTAACATTTAATTTCAAGAAGAGACCATTTGCACGTCGCCCATCCTTCGTAAGGTCCTGGAACTCTCCAGTGACATCCTACTACATACAAACGGTCGGAATTAGTTAAGCTTTTTTGATCAGTCAACGCAGCAGTGCCGCAAGTGGGCAAGTGGTTTGACTCTCCATGCATCCACTTTGTTAAATTTATTATACAAATTCCAAGAATTACTTAACACATGTGTTTAAACAGAAAAAGTGTAAATATTTAGTAAAATATAAAAATATGAAGATAATTAGAATATAATAAAAGTATTAAAAATAAGATAAAATCAAAAAATCAAATTAAGAAATCAAATAATATGTAATAAAAAAAACTGAGGTTGAAAACTTGTAAGTTAAAATCATAAAAATAAATCACAAAAATGTTAATCAAGAAATATATAGAAAATTTGTAAAATACAAAACTATGAATAAAAATAATAATCAAAGAACGTATACCCGCTTAATTTGTATAAAAAGCATGTATAAAACAATAAACATATGCAGAGTAAATAACTGAAATTTTTATAAAATAAACAAAAATTAAGAGTGAAAAAAAAACTTACTCAAAAAATGATAAAAAACTATTAAATATTTAGAATCTTTAAAAATAATAAAACTTACAAATAAATGGATTTAGAAATATAAAAAGTATAGTACAACATTATAAACTTTTTATGAAACAGCTATTATTTTAGAAAACGAAATATATTACAGAGTACTAAATTTTTAAATTTGATAAATAAATATATAAATTTGAATAATGTTTAACAATTCGAATTAAATACTACAAAGTATAAAATAAAAAATAAATAGAATATTATTTTCAAAATAATAAAAATAAGAAAATGTAATTCAACTAAAAAGCATGGAAAATATAAAACTATATATAAAAATATGCAAACTAAAAATAAATTTAAAAGAAAATTAAACATTGAAACAATTGAAATAATTTTAAAATATGAATTCCGTAATTCATTTTTTAAAATAGTTACAAATTTAACATGTCTTACTATATACTTTGGTTGTTTGCTTTTTGTTGCCCATTGTTTATTTTTGTTTCCTTTTGTTTATAAACTTTTGTTTTTGTTTTTTGTTGTTTCTCTATGTTTCTTGTGGTTGGTTTATAGGTGTGTATATTCACAAATCAAAATTTATCAATTTATGTGATTAAAGAAATCCCAAATTAAATAAAAACCTAAATGAACAACAAAAATCAAGATCAACAATAAAATATATTAAGTAACACAATGCAACAAAAAACAACATGATGCAACAAAAACAACACTATGCAACAAAAAACAACACGATGCAACAAAAAGCAACACATTCAATGCAACAAAAAGAAACAAAAACAATATACGGAGTATTAAAATAACACACTAATTATGTAATTCAATCTAGTGGGGGGTGATACATTTTCAAGGAATCCTTTACAATCTAAATTGAGATGGAATAGCGGGAGAACACCTCAGCAACACTGGTGGAGTTGGAGATCATACAATGATACAAACAGCCCGTTGCACCTTGGTCAGGTCACCTCCAGGAACAACTGTTTGTGGCTGGTAGTTAATACCACACTTGAAACTTGAAAGTGGCTCAACCATCAAAGTGGAAACCTACTGCATTGAAAACCAAGTTTGGATTTATTGCCATAGTCAACAGAGATACGCTCCAGCCTCCAGCAGAAGAGATTCAAGACCTGAACCAGTGCCTCCACCTACTGCATTGAAAACCAGGAACCCTTACAGGCCAGTGCAGTTATCAGCAAGCTTGCAGATGTGATCCAGGCAGATGTCAACAATCTCTTTCACAAAACAATTGAAATGAATAATTTTGTTAAATTCAGTAGCAAGTGAGGAAAGGATTCAAATTGGATTTACCTTTACGTGCATTGTCATAGTGTCCTTGTCTCTTCATTACATTGATTTCAATTACTCAATTCTTTAGTATCTGGAACATCAATAATATCCAACACTGCATCAAAGTTCCCATTTAGAGCTACTTCAACATCCTAGAATGAATAAAGACAAATTTATCATGAAAATAAAAATTAAAATGGGCAAGAAAATTTCAAACTGAAGTCACGGAGTAACATTTTTTCATCATCACAAAATGAGGAGTCGGTAATGGAGAACCATGCACAAAACAAACACGCATATCTACATTTCTACTATAATCAACTTCCTGCTCAAAGTTAGTAGCCAAAATGTGATGTATAGGACCAATGCAATTGTTCTGTTAAAATTTAAAAGCCTAGAGGCATAGTTTAATCCATTCATTTTGCCATCAAATTTCTATTTAAGCAAAGTTTAATATATACTAGAGGTATAATATATCCACATCAACCACAGGTATAATATATCCACATCAACCAGATAAAATAGGCCTACATAGTTCTCATAGGGATCAAGTTAACTCGAGCAAGATTGAGGTCCATAACGGATGAAATTCCATGCTTAGTCAATCGCTTTTCTGTTCGGTTTGGTACGAACGAGGAGGAGAATATCTGGTTGCTTTGTGATTGGGGTGGTTTGTTTTGCTTTCGGACAGGAGTCGCTGGTTTTGAGAAGTTAAATGAATATTCGGAGTTTTCTCTCTAGGGCTTCGACTATGTCGGCCGTTGGAGTCTTTTTCGGATTTCGACTTTGTCGAAGATCGGCTTTGTATTCCCTTGGTCGGTGGTGCTCGGATGGAGTCCAGGTCAGACGCGGAGGGCGGAGATCGGTGGAGGAGGGCGGATTCGCTGTCATGGCTCGAGGAGATTGGCATTGTGGTCGAGGTTCGAGGAAGCGGCGTGGTTGTCGTCGTTGGAGAAGATCGGCGCCGCTTATCCGTTTACTCTGGTCGTACGGAGCAGGGATGAGTTTGGTTATGCAGAAACGGAGGATTGATGCTTGGTCTTTGGCAGCCAAAGGTCATGGAGGATCAATTAGCATGGTACCAGTGGTACGACCTCCTCCTGAATAAGTATGGCAATGGGGACGGGGACCCGTGGGGAACCGCCCCGCGGGTGGGGCGGGGGCTTGGGGCGGGGTGGGGACGGGGATGGGTGAGATATTTTTACGCTGTTAAAATATGGGGCGGGGGGACGGGAATTGCTACACCCGCCCCGTCCCCGCCTCGTCCCCCGTTATAAATATATACTCAAACACATATACACACACATATAAATAATATAATGTACAAACATATTAAATTAGATTATATGCAGTATATAACAAACACATATACATATATATAGACATACATAACTGTGTAAGGTTTAGTCATGGTTAATGAATCAATACATATTATACTAGAATAATAATAAGTTAGTAATGATTAAAAATATTTATCATAAATGTTATATGAGTTTTAAGAGTGAGTAAATAAATACACACACATTTAAATGTAATGTGTAATTAATTGTATGTTAATTGCTGAGAATATTGAAACGATGTACATAATGATTATATGTTTACTTATGTTCTTACTTTAACTGTCTTTGATTTACAAAACTTACTCAAATTGAAGAATTATTAAAATTGGCGGTATTAACTTTTAACAAACACAATACTTCAAGGTTATATATATATTATCTGCGTTTGTGTAGATATATGTAGATTTAGGATCAAATGGTGATAATTGTTGAGAATATTGAAACGATGTACATAATGATTATATGTTTACATATGTTTTTACTTTAACTGTCTTTGATTTACAAAACTTACTCAAATTGAAGAATTATTAAAATTGGCGGTATTAACTTTTAACAAACACAATACTTCAAGGTTATATATATATTATCTGCGTTTGTGTAGATATATGTAGATTTAGGATCAAATGAGACAATGCTTAATGTGAGAACGTGTGAACATACATCACATTTATCCCCAATGTGACGCACAATGGGCTCGCACAATGCACTTTTTCGTATCAAGCATAATATTTATAAATGTGTCACCGTGATTATTTATATTAGCTTGTATTGAGCAAAGTCCAAATGTGCACTAGAAGGGTTCTATTGTGTATAACATTGGATTAAATGTGAGTGTTCTCACGTTAAGCATCATTCTCATTGGAACCGCACCACATATATTTATAATGGATTAAAAGTATATGCAAATACGATAAATTAAATCTATATGGGGGCACCCGCGGGCACTGTCGTATTGACCACATCGTGTCATTTATAATGTTGCTTCCCACTACATGGTTAGCGATTCATGTTGCTCTCTCAAGAGTGACCGTCTCAAAGTCTCACCATAGGGTTACAGTCATAGTTGTTGGAGTTTCAGTTGGTGTCAGTTTTATTTTCCCTGTGCTTGATTTAATGATCCTAAATCTTTTTATATGAATAATGGCCTGTTTTGATGATAAAAAAACAAGTTATCAGCTTATTGTAAACAGTCGTTTAACCAAACACTATTTTATAAACAACTAACACTATCAGCTAATCAAAACAGCTAACAGAATCAGCTATCACTCATCAGCCAACAGCCAACGGCCAATTGCCAAAGTTACAACTTCCATAGTTCATTTGATCATAAAATAATCCCTTTTTATTGGTGTACTCGTGTAAAGTAAAAAAAATGCATGAAGACGAAGGTTCCCAAATTGAGCTTCATTTTCAAATACCACATCTTTGTGGCATGAAATATTATTGACTTTCCCCAAGTGATGAAGCATACCAGGCCAAACCACTATGACAAACCACTATGATTAGATCACATACTATTTTTAGATCACAAAACCTATTTTCATTACTAATCTTCATGTAGATCACTGATCACATACTGGATTAGTGATATACCACGTTTACTTATCATTGGGAAGAATTCTATCAAAGCAACAATATTACCGCAATTTTTCTCAGACAAATAACCAATATGTCTCAACTCCTAATATATAGAATAACAACTATGACACGATGTGGTCAATACGACAGTGCAAATGCTATACCCTTCTCCGTGTGCAAAAGTTGCCTCTCGCATTTCGACTTTTGAGGAATAACTCACACGCTGTTGATTCCATCTTTGGTCGTTGTTTCAAACTTTCACTAATTGAGGCTGGAACCATAACGGCATAACAATCTAAGCAGCTGATGCAGGCCCATGCTCATCTTGTATGTCTGAATACACTCTAGATTTATGTATGGTGTAATGCTTACTTGTTATACCGGAATTATGTTCTCATTCTAGATTTATGTTTTCTTTACTTCATCGTGTATATGATAGACTGAGTGTTCTGCTAATGGGTAAGGCAGAAAGGGATAAACTTTTTAGGTTTTATTACTTGTTTAAAGTATGTGGAGTAACTTCTGCAATGAGGCACACTGTTTTCTTATAAAGTCTTATACTCTTTGGCTCTTTGCTAAACCCAAAAGTATCTAACAGCTTTGGGCTATGAAGTAGGAGCCTTCTCATATTAACGATTGCCAAAAGTATTTCTCTAGAGTATAAGCTATAACCCCCTCAATATATTGGGCATGCTGTTAGTAAAAGTCCAAACTTGGGGTGCAATCCAGTAGCTCTAAGGAACACATCAATGAATTTAGCCAATGCAGGTATAGTCGTATAGAGACAATCTGAAAATTCTTTTGCACAGAACAAGGAGACAGTTGCTTTTATAGTTCTATACCATATTGAGATTTTATTTCATCATGGATATTCCTAGACCGGAAAGATGCTATTAAGCTATTTAGCCTTTGTTCGTGGACAAGCAGGGCACTCGAGAATCAGGGAAGAAACAAAAAGAAAAAGAATCAAAAGTTTTCTCTTGTTAGGTAAGCAAACAAATAACTTAAGGAAATGGGGAGGAAATAAGTTACAGAAGGAATTCAGCTCCTCTTACGAGAAGAAAGGAGGGAAATCCTCCTTTACCTCAGTATCTCCCTCTTGTTTCTCTCCTGCCAACCAGGGTACAAAATCTACTCCATTTCCTTGATATTTCTCTTCTCAATCGCCTTTCTGAATCATTTCTCCCTTCCCTCATTTCTCTCTTTTATAGCGCAACAATATAAAGAACAAGCAACCATTGTAAATGATAAATGATGACCATTTCCTCATTCATTTTGAAAATCAAAGGGATTGGAAACACTGACCCCATAAGATGGCATCAAATTATTATTATTTTAGATAAAAACAGTCATTGCATTACAACAATTTATGCTTCTAATGGTTTCCAACCAAAAGTATTCAAAATGTATAACAACATAAGCCAGTAAACACAAAGGCATTCGAGATTGACATACGATCTGGGGGTCTCCATGTAAACCTCAATCAATCCATAACTTGACTAAAAATCGAATCTTTGAAATACCAGCATTCACTCAGAGCGGTTCGCATACCTCTCGACGTTGTTGTCATTGAGATTGATTCCAACCATAGCCTCTCCAAGCCCACAGCTTATGTCAGCAAGCACCTCTGGATCACTGTAGTGAGTGACTGCCTGTACGATGGCCCGGGCCCTTCTTGCCGGATCTCCGCTCTTGAAGACGCCTGAGCCGACGAACACACCGTCACATCCCAGCTGCATCATCAGCGCGGCGTCAGCTGGGGTTGCCACCCCTCCAGCAGCGAATTGCACCACTGGGAGCCTTCCCAACTGCTTCGTCTGCACAACCAGATCGTACGGCGCCTGAATCTTCTTGGCGAACGTGAACACCTCGTCATCGTCCATGTTGCGGAGCAGCCGGATGTCGCCCATCACGGACCGGACGTGACGGACGGCCTCGATAATGTTGCCGGTACCCGCCTCTCCCTTGGTTCGAATCATCGCGGCTCCCTCCCGGATGCGTCGGAGAGCTTCGCCGAGGTTCCGGCAGCCGCAGACGAACGGGATCCGGAAATTGTGCTTGTTGATGTGGTTGGCGTCGTCGGCGAGTGTGAGGACCTCCGATTCGTCCACGTAATCAATTCCGATTGCTTCGAGGATCTGGGCCTCCACGAAATGCCCGATCCGAGCCTTGGCCATGACCGGAATGGTGACGGCCTGCTTGATCTCCTTAATCATCTGAGGGTCGGACATCCGGGCGACGCCGCCCTGAGCTCTAATGTCTGCGGGGACGCGCTCCAGAGCCATGACGGCGCAAGCGCCGGCTTCCTCAGCAATCCGGGCTTGCTCAGGTGTGACGACGTCCATGATGACGCCGCCGCGGAGCATTTGGGCCAAACCCACCTTCACGGAGAAGGGGGATTTCTTTGTGGTCTCGGCGATAGCGGAGTTCGCGTAGAGCGTAACCACGCCGCTTTCGGACATCTTTGCTGTCTTGGAATTTCACTCACCGGCGATCGGAGGCGCGGGTTACGATAACTAAGGTTGAGCGGATGGGGATGGAGCCCTAACTAAGGTTTAAGATAACTGATCACACTAAAGAATTTTTGTTTAGAGATATTACCCAAAATGAGACTAAAAAAGTTTGAAAATTCCAAAATAGGACTTCCATGTTTTTATTCCCAAAATAGGACTAATTACTGTCATGTTTTGGCAGCACCGAACTTCAAACATGGCAGTATTTTCCAAATTTGGCAATAATTAGTCCTATTTTGGGAATAAAAACATGACAATCCTATTTTGGAATTTTCAAATTTTTTTAGTCTCATTTCGAGAACTTTCCCTTTTGTTTATCATTCCGGGATCTACACAAATTACAACCACACGCTTTATTACTGGGTGTTTCTCATACTCCGTACTAATTAAACTTGAGAAAGTGTCGAGTGAGGAGGGACGTGTGGTCCAGTCTATTTTTGGTCTGATATGATATAATCTAGTTTATTTAAGTCTGGTTTAAACTGTGTTGTACATGTTTGATCAATGTATATTGGGAAATTACAAAAGTAGGAGTAAAACGTTTTGAAATTAAAAAAATATTGTTGTGTTTTTGTTCATTAAATAGGTGTATAACTGCAAAACTTAGAAAATAATGTCATGTTTAAACTTTGATACTGCCAAAACATGACAGTAATTACTTCTATTTAGGGAAGAAAATCATGACAGTCCTATTTTGGAATACTTAAATTTTTTATGGCTAAAGGGTCAAATAGGCTCCTGAACTGAATTAAAGTGTTCAATTAGCCCCTTATATATGATGTTCTGCCCGGCCGTCGCCAATTGGGGTGGTTCCCGGTGGAATTTTTTGATGAAAATTTTTGAGCATTTTCTTCATTAAGTCTAGTTTATTCATACCAAATTTAAGCTAAAAATTCAACCGTGAAGGTAGTCAAATGATTTTTTTGAAGATAACTGTGAAGTTAAACAACGCAATACATTTTGAAAAATCATTTGACTGCCTTCCCGGTTGAAGTTTTAGCTGAAATTTTGTATGGGTAAACTAGACTTAATGAAGAAGATGCTCAAAATATTTCATCAAAAAATTCCACCGAGAACTGCCTCAATTAGCGACGGCCGGGCAGAACCTCCTATATAAGGGGCTAATTGAACACTTTAAGTCAGTTCAAGGACCTATTTGACCCTTTAGCCATTTTTTATTCCTATTTACAGCAATTTTGTGTGTGTATTTTCTAACTGTTAAAGTCTAATATGATTTGGTTTGACATGATCTAGGATTAAAACAAATTCAAGTAAAACATCCCAACTAAATTGTGCAAAAATCATATTTTGTATTTAAATGGTGACTGCTTCTTACACCTTCAACATTACTTAATCTAACATTATCTAACTAATATGTTTACTAACTTTTAGGATGCTTTTAATTGAATTGTAATTTTCTAATCTCGTCTCGCCCAGTAGATGTATAGTCTATGTGTGTTTTACTACTAGCGAAATCCAATTTGGTCCTGTTTGTTTAAATATGATCTGTAATGAAATCGGTGTAATTAAAAACATGTTAGCATTGCATCCACCAATACTAAGCACCATGAAGTTAACATCAGTAAATTTAATCTAACTTTACCTAGATCCTCCATTGTCACGGACTCACAGGTCTAACATTAGACCACACTTTTAGTTACTCCCTCTGTCTCATTCGATATTGTCTACTTTGATTTTAGTGTGTAATTTGAAAAATAATATGTGTGATTGATCTTTGTATAGATGAGAGAAAAATAAAGAGAACCATAAATTTACACTACTAGAATATATTGTATTTGCTGCGGTTGTTTCAGCCTATTTGCTGCGGTTTTGAACCGCAGCAATTGCGGGAGCAACAAAAAGTGGAAAAGGTTAATTGCTGCGGTTAGAAACCGCAGCAAAAAGTAACATATTTATTACTCCCTCCGTTCTTTAATATAAGTCCTCTTAGGCTTTGGCACGAGTTTTAAGAGTAAAATAGTAGGGGTAGTGTAAAAGGTGTAATGAGTAGTGGGTAAATGAAAAAGTAGGAAAGAGAAAGGGGTAATGGTAATAAAAGTGGGGGTATAAAGGTATATTTAAAGTAAAAACTTTCCTTAAATGGAAAGGAGGACAAATAAAAAAAAACGTCCCAAAAAGGAAAGAAGGACTTTTATTAAAGAACGGAGGGAGTATATAAATAATACTTGTTGCTGCGGTTATGGAACAACCGCAGCAAATAATACTAAAACTGATCTAGATTGTGGCGGTTCATGATCAATAGCAGCCAATAATTTACTACGTATACCATAGCTTCATATACGTTGTTTTCTATTTACCACTTAAATGGACACTTTTCAACCAAACGAAATAATTTTGTATTTTCCAATACAAGATACTATTGCATCCAACAAAATTATTATCCACTACACGTCTACAAGACACTCTCTTAAATGCATCTACATTCTATACAATTACCAACAACTCACTTATCCAAACCCACTAATTTAAATACCAGTACACGTCCAATACAGAAGATTATTGACAATTAGCAATAACAATTCCATATTTCTTCCTTGTATCCAAAAAGTGCCAGTTAGCCACTAAGCGCTTCATTTGGTATCCCCATCTCAACAATCTGATTCCACAATATAGGTATTGAACCACATTCACGGACCTACAAATGACAATTTAATGAGTAAAAAAATATCCATATTTGACATTGTCATACATTTAACATGTGATAAAATACACATGCTCTCTAAAGTAGGAACAAAAGACCTCTTAAAACTACCAACAAGTTGATAATGGTTTTTACTGTGCTTAGAACATTACTGGTCTTTCTAATCTAAAAATAATAAATTCCTAATGGTACTATATATATTTGGAAAAAATAGTGATAGGACTGTAACCCAATACAATTAAAGTATATAAAGTCTGTTCAATCTTTGTAGCTGTGTCTTATACAATGAAGTATAAGACACCGCAGCAAAATATAAAGCTCAACCAACGCATCGACACCATTGAGCATTCAAAGTCCGGAAGGCAATTTATCTCAACATCTTGAAGAGGTAAATTTTATGAACTCTTATGGGAACCGGGGAAACAATAATCCTTCTAATCAACAAAGGTGGAACCAAGGGAGCAATTGGAAGCCACAACCCCAATCCGGAGCACCTAATTTTGGGCCGTCCAAGGAAACCACCATGGAGGATATGATGCAATTCATATCCAAGAGTATGGAAAACATGAAAGCTCAAAATGAAGAGAACCATAGTAGAGTGGAGGCATCCATTGGGAATCTCCACTCTCAATTCAACAAGTTGGATCTTCGCTTTGAAGATCAAAATATAAAGCTCAACCAACGCATCGACACCATTGAGCAATATACCAAGGCGTCCATCCGAAATCTTGAAGTTCAATTGGGGCAACTCGCCCAAAAAGTGAGTTCTAGAGAGCAAGGTAAATTCCCTACAACTACGGAGGTAAACCCGAGGGAGAGCGTGATGGCCATTACCACAAGAAGCGGGAGGCAAACAGAGGATCCCAAGATGCCGGAGAGAAGAAAGACACCGGAGGAACAAGAAGATGTTTCACATACACCGTTGCCACCTATTATGCCTCAATATGTTCCTCCCATCTTCTATCCACAAAAGTTGAAGAAGAAAGGAGATGAGAAGAAACACAAGAAAATTCTTGATATTTTCAAGAAATTGAGCATCAACATACCTTTTGCGGAGGCCATTGCGGAGATTCCATCGTACGCAAAATTTCTCAAAGGCATCATCTCCAACAAAAAGAAGTTAGAGGAATTCGCAACCGTGGCACTAACGGAGGAATGTAGTGCCATTATTCAAAACAAACTTCCTCCAAAACTAAAAGACCCCGGAAGCTTCACTATTCCATGCTCTATCGGAAGCTTCACTATTCTTAAATTTGTATATTATGCTCCTTGTTCTTATAGACAATAGTCTTCTCATTCTTAGGCATTATTAATCATTAATAATCCTTAAAAACATATTTAATTACCTTAGGTAATCTCATGAAATTAACTCACTAATTATAAGCAATATAGTCAGTCATCCTCACCTTATGAAGTGCTGAAATAGTTGCCTTTGTTAAGCCCTCCGATCAATCCCCGTTCTAAACTGATTAGAAGTGGAAAATCTGGACAGCAGACGAAAGTCGGGCAGCTTTTGCAAAAGGTGGGCGGCTTTCGTGGTCTGTAGCTACGAACAGCTTCCTTTAAGTGGCGGTTTCCGGCGATTTCGACTCCTATCGATTCCACGACTCTTCTAAGTTAAATACCACCACTTTATAACATTATTCTACACTTTTAAACGTGTAGAACTCCATGTTTAACCCACCATATGATTTCTTAAAAAATCATACAACACAAAACTAGTTAATGAAAAATAATTGTGTTCTTACCTCAAGAACCTAGCCTTTTGTGTTGGGTTTCCCTTCCTAATGCTTCCTTCAAGCTCCTTGTTGGTGAGGGCTATTTCCAGAGCTCCTTATCTCTCTATTCTCTCGTGTGGTTCAAAGTGAGGAGCAAGAGAAGCATCTCCCTTGATCAAGGCCAAAAATAATGCCAAGACAAGACAAGTGGTATGGGGTTTTGTCTCTACGAGACTTCCCTCTGCCTAGCACGCCCCTCCCCTATGAAAATGTCCCCTCCTCATTTTGTGTGAGTCTAATTAGCATGTAGGATACTCCAAATGGGTGTAGGAAGTTTCTCCCAATTATTCCTGCTATTTTTGGCAGGTTGGGCCATAATTGCACTCGGGTTGCCCAAATATTTTTATCAACTTTAGTTGGCACTTTATTGGGCTTCTATAAATATTACGATAACCCAACTAAATATTTGGTAGCACATTATCATTTTTATGGACCCGATAAATTATTTAATTAATCACACATTAATTAAATATACCAATTCTGTCACACGAATTTTATTCGCTAGGAAATTCAAATTCGTATCAAATTTCAAATTCAAGTACATCCGGGTGCGGTGTCACATACCCGGTCGGGTATCGCCTATACCTGATCGGGTATTCGCTTGATTCGATTGTCCA